GCCAAAAAGAGGGTTGGCCGAAAAAAAAAAATGCAATGGCATCGCCTGCGACTGACTCGTTGTCCGAACATTTCGGAGCGAAACGGAAGGTGGGAACAGTGCTCAAGGTTTCGTGGTGATCCGACCATCAGAGAGCGAGCATGCTGTGGTGATGTCGTAAGACGTTTGCCTTGTTGGAGATTTGTTGTTTTTGGTCTTCACTTCAAGTCAGCGCTCGCAGCATTTGTGCCGTTAACTGGCGTTTTTTACCGCTAGCCCACAGTTTCGGACTGGGGCTCCAAATTTCCCGGTTAACGGAAGCAGATTTTGAGATAAGAAAGTTTCGTGGAAACTTTGTGCAGGTGAAATTTTTCAGATTTAAGCGGCTTCATGTGATTGGCTGTGGGGCAACAGTCCTCCCACGAACTTCCCCTGTCGGCAGGTGCTGTTGTTTTTTCGTGGTGCGCTGCGTGACAGCTTGCTGTGCACCTTGCTTGATGGCAAGGGGCTCTAACTGCTGCTGCTGTTGAGTGTGCGTGCGTGCGTGCTTGCGGGTGTCCGTGTCTGCGTCGCTCCCTCAACCCAGCACACGAAATCGCACCACACCAGTAGTGAGACAGGAAGTGATTACTGTACACTGGCCGACTACAGCCTCTAAACGAAGTACAATGTCGCGTTTCAAGCGTTCGTTCGGGAGAGACGGGGGGTTTGGGACCGGGAAGCTCATACGAGTCAAACGCTCNGCTTCATGTGATTGGCTGTGGGGCAACAGTCCTCCCACGAACTTCCCCTGTCGGCAGGTGCTGTTGTTTTTTCGTGGTGCGCTGCGTGACAGCTTGCTGTGCACCTTGCTTGATGGCAAGGGGCTCTAACTGCTGCTGCTGTTGAGTGTGCGTGCGTGCGTGCTTGCGGGTGTCCGTGTCTGCGTCGCTCCCTCAACCCAGCACACGAAATCGCACCACACCAGTAGTGAGACAGGAAGTGATTACTGTACACTGGCCGACTACAGCCTCTAAACGAAGTACAATGTCGCGTTTCAAGCGTTCGTTCGGGAGAGACGGGGGGTTTGGGACCGGGAAGCTCATACGAGTCAAACGCTCTTCTTTCGAGTAGACACCAGAGAAAATACTCTTGCGCGCGGAAGGACGCGCCCGCCTGCACCAGGAGGCCACTACGTGCTCTTCATCCTCTCTGCTCTTCTTCTTTGATGGGGGCGTTGCCACCACCTCTAGGTTCGTGCGCTCTTTCTCGCCCTTGCCTCAATCTGACGGACGTGTTTGTTGCTGACCTCAAGCCAGCCAGAAACAAACCCAACTTTCGGACCGTGCAGCCTCCCCGTTTTGTGTTGGTGGCGCGCCAACTCCAAGGCCTTTCGCTGGGCGCTGGCCTTCTCTTTGGCCGCGCTGACGTGTTCTCAGCAGACTGCTGTGTGTGCGTGCGGTGGTGCGTGTGATGTGTTACTTCGAAGAAAGTTACTAAATCGAAAAATCGTGAAATTTTTTCCACAAACCAAGCCTCCCTCGGCTCTTAAATCTGTGAACTTTTTCCTTGTTGTAGGTTCTGGCGAGACTGTCAGGAGCGATCCTCAGACCGACGGCTTTACTCAAAATATGTTTCCTTATTTCTGATTTTTTTGGGGTCCGAAACTGTCAAGTGCCTGGAAAAGAAAAAGAGAAATAAAGAAAGTTGCAGGCCTTCTCTTGCGGCTCTCTCTCCGCGAAACTGTTGATATTTCGACGACCACGACGTCGATTCACGAGCAGATTCCTGCAGTAGATGAGCAGAAAGCTGGAGGAAAACTTTCGAGTTGCCTTGATGAATAATTGTCCTTGTTCCCCTCTCAATGTTGTATTTATGGCAAAAGTCAGCACCTAGGATCACCCTCCCAAATCCTCTGCCGTCATGTACGTCTATCAACGCATATCAGCAAGCCACAGCCCCACGCAAAAGCAAGAAAGGTCAGCAGTAGTCAAGGGCAGCAGCAACAGTGGTGATTGGAGCAGCAAACATGTAGAGTGAGGCGGTGCTGCCATGAGATCGATGAGATCGGCGCTTGCTTGTGTGGCGTCAAGATACAATGTCGTCGCCGCCAGTGCATCATTCCCAACGGCACTAAAGGCGTCTGCCTCTCGCGTTCACTCTGCGCAGTCATGCCGCACCACGCCACTAATACTCACGACAACAGGAAGCCTAGTTGAGTACGAGTCGTGCTGTAGCCCATAAATATATAATGCCACAGGTCCGCGCTTGTGATGCGTGCAAAGAGATAAAGATCCTTGCCGTCCTGCTGCGGTACGATGTCCGCGAAATCCCAACGAACGGCGAAGAGAAAGCGCCTCTCTTTCTCTCTGCGCAGCAGTCCTTCCACACCAGCCACACCAACCAAAATAGCTAGCAACCGCAGAGATGAATAATAGAGTGATGCACAGTAGTGCTACTGCGCCAGTATTCCAGCCTCTCTTGTTGCTGTGCGTTGGGTAAGCGTCTGGTGATCATGAACAAAGTTAACGCTTCGGCGGCTACTGCTCATTTCGTTTGCTACTGGTTTCGTGCCGTCAGCTGGAGGAACAGCAGCAGCAGCAACAGCAGCAACAACAACAGCAGCAAAGCGCGGACATGCTGCCTCCACGACCCACAAGACCCTCCTCTGCGTGGTGCGGGCTGCGTGCTGTGTGGGCGGGCTGTTTAGGTTGTGTGTTTCCGAGACGACAAGTGTTGTGTGTGCCTGCGGTGCCCTTTTTCAAATGTGTCGCCAAATACCGACAGCATGCGTAGGCCCCTTTTCCAAAAGACAGCCCTTTATTTCCCATATAAAAAATGTGTCGCCAAATGCCAACGGAGAGGCCCTACCAAGAAAAATCACCTCTCACGTTGATTCGAACTCGTGGACACAGAAGGGTTCCTCTCCCGAAGGCCCCCTACTCACCCGTCCTGTGGTACTTTGCCTCCGATTTTAACAGCGTTAATGTGCCGGGATTTTTTTTCTTATTGCTGTTCGGGACCAGTGTCCCCAAAAATCAGAACGCCTTGCGAACCACCACCAAACAACAGGGCCACACTACATGCCTCGATTGGACCTTTGTTGTTGGCAGATATCTCAACCCATAGACCTTTAACCTCGGGTGCCACTTCGAGGGTGCCTGAGCCAGGTGTGAGAGACAAGGACTGTTCCTTGTTATGGTAGCCGAACCTGCGGCGTCGTTTGATCAAAGGCCCCAAACCTTTCGCATCTCAGTTTTGCTATCGTTTTCGTTTTCCGTTTTTTTCCTCCCGACGGGTTTTCGTCGCTTGGCAACGACGTTGTAAAACAAGCCCATTCACTTCGTGAACTCGGCAACCAGGTTACCGCGTTGTTTTTTTTACCTCTGTTTTTTTTGGCGGTTACCATAATGGTGGTCGAGCAGATCATGTTGTGCGGGGTCGAGAACCCTCACTCCACGCAAGGGGGATGATCGCACCACAGTGTCTTATAATGGTCAAGCACCCCCGAGGCACTTACACAGTGCTTACAACTGTCTCAGGAAGTGAAGTACCAGAAAATAAATTAAGTCATACGAAGCTGTCATCCGTACCCAAGGAAGCAAGCACAAGATGCCGAACACCTTTTGCAGGATGCAGCACACCCTTTCATGCGACTCGCCGAATACCTCACGGCGCTTCGCGCTTGGTGATGTGAGAGCCTGGTCCAGTGAGAACCCGGCGTGCTCCGTCCCAG